CGGCGCGACGCCGTCTCCACGCTCGGGTAGCGCCGGCCAGCGGCGCGGCCGTACTCCTGGGCCTGCCTCCTGACGCCTCGCGGTTAGTGCGGCCGCGCGGCGCTCCCGCAGCGCGCCGAGCGTCGCACCCGTGACTCGCTGACCCTCCTGACGTCACAGCCCCGCCAGGCCCCTCGAGCCCCGTCCGGGCAGGTTCAGCCCCGCGGCTGTTCGAGCCGCGTCGCCGTCCTCGCCCGGTTCGGTAGCTTGTCGCGCGATCCTGGCGCGACGCGCTGCAGCGTCCGTGCCGAGCGCTGGCTCGTCTCAGCGGCGGGACCACCGGCCGCCGGGACTGGCCTCCGCGCCCTCGTCGCCATTGTGAGCGGCCGCCGCGGCATGACCTCAGGTGTTTATTATGGCTAGCCGCGAGGCCGGCCGGCCGCTCCAACCGAGCGGCCGCGATCACGCAGTCGGCGCCGGACACGGCTTCGGCGGAACACTGGGGCTCCGGACACGGCTCCGGTGGAACACTGGAGCTCCGGACACGGCTCCGGCGGATTACCGGGACTCTGGACGCGGCTCCGGCGGATCACCACGACTCCGGACACGGCTCCGGCGGATCACCACGACATCGGACACGGCTCCGGCGGAACACTGGAATTCCGGACACGACTCCGGCGGATTACCGGGACTCTGGACGCGGCTCCGGCGGATCACCAAGACACCGGACACGGCTCCGGCGGAACACTGGAGCTTCGGACACGACTCCGGCGGATTACCGGGACTCTGGACACGGCTCCGGCAGATCACCGGGACTCCAGATAGGCTCATAGATCATACTCCGGAGGTGGGACAGCACAGATCGAGTTGTGGGAGCGGTCTGACCCGTCATCTGCGTTTTTAACAAGACATTGAAAAAGTTTTTCATTTACCACCAAAATTGGTGTAGTCAGAATCCATTCAAGGTCAATTAGGCAGTACGCCTGCCATGACATCTCCCCCAGCCCCGGTGGCAGCACTTATGCCGCGCCTCGGTTTTGCAAAGATACGGCGTATATTTCACGTCAGACCATTTCAAGTCCCTCCATAAGCTATCAACTTGGTATTCGTAACTTGGACAGCGATGAAGTTATCGCTGAGATGTTTGTCCGAGTGATCTGCTTCGCCGGCGTCGGCAGCACCTTCTGATGGCGAAGGTGCCCTGCTGACACGTCACGCGCATCTGCCTCGGCATCTGAGGGCCCTCCTCGCACGCGCGTCTGACTCGGTATCTGAGGGCCCTCCTCGCACGCGCGTCTGACGCGGTATCTAAGGGCTCTCCTCGCACGCGCGTCTGACTCGGTATCTGAGGGCCCTCCTCGGACGCGCGTCTGACTCGGCATCTGAGGGCCCCCCTCGCACGTGCGTCTGACTCGGTATCTGAGGGCCCTCCTCACACGTGCGTCTGACTCGGCATCTGAGGGCCCTTCTCGCACATGCGTCACTTCATTTTTTCTGTTTTATTGGAAACGACAGCTGGAATTGTAACACAGCCAAATACGCGGCACAGTTCAAGTAACTTAGCGATTGCCACAAGTGCGATTCAAGGTTACCTTTAAGATTTGTACCCTTTAGATCACTAAAACCCAGTGGGATAAATTAATGTCTTAGGCAAGCTTACAATCAAGGCAATCTGCAATAAGTGAGGCTGTGTTGTTAAAACTTTGGCCGTTTGTGCGGCTAATACGTTATTCAATATGGCTGCATGCGAAGCAGTGAATTTTCTGCTGCACAATAGCCATAGTTGCCTTCTTTGCACGTGTTTTTGCAAGCTAATTGGAGTGCATTGCATGAAAGCCACCTCCAATGCGACTATACCAGTCGCAGAGAAAACATTTATTGGGACGTCCACTGCCCAAACATCATACACCACACATAACTCAATCATGGTAACGCAGGCAAAAATGTCACTTGAGTATTGGAGCCTGTTCCACCTGAGATCCTAATCTTCTGACCCTTATCATAAGCATCCAGGAGATCAAACCGAAATAGTAGTTTGCTTTTAGAAGTGAAGTTGAGATTTCAAGGTTAGCCAGCTCTCATTACATCAAGGTTAACCAGCCCTTAAAAAACGGCTTTGGTCATGGCAGGCTGCAAAATGCATACCTTGACTTTCGTTGCTTACCAAATAAGTTCAAGTGAGCTTAATGTTAACTATGCTATAGCGCATCTTTTCTATTCAATTTCAGATTTAGCTGAGCTGAGCGGACTGCGGCCTATTCCACTATAGTCGGCCTATTCCACCATCTACAATTACGGTTGACAAAATTCCATTGGAGTCGACTAACTCAATAGTTTGCTCTGGTTCTGATATCAAGACGATGGATGTGTGAGCAAGGATGTGTATGGAGATAGCGAATGAGAAAACAATGGACTTAATTTTTCAAACAAATGCAGAGATCACAGTAGAAAGACTAGACAGGATAGATATGCAGACGGGTCGCCCCAGATACAGAAACTTTGTCATAACTTTGAAACCACTTTGATGACTCAATCATCTTGGGACAGAGTAAGTGATATATTGTCCTGCTCGGCAGGTACGGCGGTGGGAAGCATTCACACTGACCCAAAACACAAAGCTAGTCGTCATCAGAGAACTCGCGGGTCGCTTACAACGCCTCGTGCTTACATCCCACCGCTTCCTGTCTAATATGGTATTAAATAATACCATCCAGTCTATCAATCCTGTCTCACCCCTGCTTACCCAGAAGACTCCCTCGCTGTCAGGACCTTGGTGCATAATTTTACATCATCACAGATATAGCGCACGTTCCTCATTTGCACCCATCACTCGCTGTCTTACAATGCAACCATATTCGTCTCGGTCCTAGGACACCGGTCTGGTATGCAAATGATACATTAGACCATGCATCGCCATTCATCTGCAGCCCACGCAATCACCACATACCCGGTTATACATATGTGTGCACTCAGTTGAAATATCTCAATAAAGTACAGATGCTTACACTCATGCCACGCGGCAACAAACATCTGCGAACGAAGTTACCAGTGTTGAAAGAAGGGCGGGGGGGGGGGGCGAGGAAATAAAAAAGCAAGTGTTTGCATCCTGAGCATTGGTGTCTTTTCTGGGATGCCTGTTGAGTTGGCAGATATACGAGCCGACTCGCTCTTTCACTTATGAATGGGCGTGGATCTGATTGCATGCGTTTCGTTGAGAGACCTACTGGCTTTTCCGAGGACTGAGGACTGAGGACTCGCCAGTGCGTCCTCCATTTTCCCGACGGAGGACTCGCCAGGGCGTCCTCCATTTTCCCGATGGAGGACTCGCCAAGGCGTCCTCCTTTTTCGGCGAGTTTAGGTATAGGGAGTCGGGGGTGTGGTTTTCTTCTCAGTCAATGGGCCGCCCGAAACGTGGGCTCCAGCTCACCCAAACATATTTCGGGTTCCGTTTGATCGCCTTTTGCTGCTAAGCTCCCAACTGAGGTTGGAAAACTACGTCCCTGTTAGGAGCGACGAGAGGTCGGTGGGGGGTGGGGGAGGGGAGGGGGGGGGGGGGCGTAAGCCAAATTTTAAGTCAATTCTGTGTATCCCTTACAACAAAGTCAACGTTGATCCTTCGCCAAACGTACAGCGCCGCTGTCGCCTCCAGCGGAAAGGTGTTTTAATCTCGCTGGGGTATTGCTGACTTTGGCGCATGCGAGCTCTGATGCAATCTTCTAAAGCTCCCCTCATTTTGTAACACCTCCCAGCACTCATGCTAATTGAAAACAGCGCTCGTCTGTGGGCCTCTCAAACTGAGATCAGCTCTCTTTCGATCCAGATCTCGATCCTGGTCTCGATTTTCCACTGCTGTCTTAAAGCTCTGCTAGATGCTTCCACGATTCCCGAAATGTCACCACTTTTTGCGAAACAGTGCTTTCAGAGCTCCGTCTGTGATTTACAGTTGTAGCATTCCGCACAGGCACTGAACTTTCGGTGCGCTTTCAAAGAGAAGGGTTAAGTTTGGAAGCCCTACGCTGGGAATCAAACCAAGTTGTGCAAGTCACGGAAGAATCCAGCACATTTTTCGACATCCATTGACGAAACGAGCTGGGTTATTGGAGACGCACGAATGGGCCATACGCGGCTCCGGCCGTCACATGCAGAGCTTTGGGAGCGAGAGTGGATAATTTTTACCACCACTGCTCCCATGTCCCTGGTAAGCTGTGAGGTGAATTATCACGGGTGTGAAGGAAAGGATTTCCAGCGTATCAGGGGGGTCAATGTCAACTGATGGGACATGAGTGAGTCAAATGGCATCAGAGTATCCTTGTTAATGACACGTGGGTGATCTATTTTCTTAAATGCAGGCAGAGAAAACATTTTATTTGCTAGCGTTTATAAAGAACCCATCAGATGCAGTACTAAGGCTAACACTAACGCTCATATAAACCGACTAATACTGATACTAAGGCTACTTTTACAGCTACGTTAGCACACCTCCGTCGGATCAATGCTTAGATATAAAGTTTCCTTTATGCGCAGAGCTCATTCGTATGACCACTGCAATCCACTCATTGCAACACCGGCCAAGTTAAACACGGTCACTTCTGTACTGCTTTTACTGCCCAACTTGCACTAAACGTTTCTCTAATTTCTAGGCTGGCGTGACCGATAACATGCAGAGTTAAGGTGCCATTTCATGGCGGCCGTGCTGCTTTTTTACGGCATATATTCTCGCCTAATTGCATAACTTAATTAGTGGCCCGTCTCGGCGCCTCCGCCGTGTTACCTGGCGGTACACTGTGCCGGTGGGGTAGCGGGGCAGATTTGACGGTACGCCCGCTCAGACACGCCGTGCGTGACGGGCGCGTGACCCGTCGTGCCGCGTGACTGGCCGGGTCACGCGGCGCGCCGCCGGCCGCGCCGATGCCGCGTCTGGCGGCCCGGTCTCGGCCCGGTGCTCCTACCCGGCGCCGTGGAATGCGCCGGCGGCGGCGGCGGCCGGACGGGGCAGAGGTAGTGAAGTTGTCAGGCGGCGCGCAGTTAAACGCGGTCGCCCGCCGGGTTGGTCGCCGCCGCGCGCCAGCAGGGACGCTGTGTTCGGGCCGGTGGGGCGCCGCCGAGGGCTGTGCGTGTGTGCGTGACACTGTACTCGACGGATACTGTTGGTTATGACCGCGAGTGATGGTGGCGCGGCTATCAGCTTTATGACCCATTGGAACTATGCAGGAAAGGAAAGGTGAGTGGCGTGGGTTGTCCGAGGCTTGCCTCGCCCCTCTGGACGCCTCGGCCCCATCTGCGGCGCCCACCGCATCCCGGCGGTGCAGTGGCTCCCGCCGGCGCCCGGTCGGCGGCGGCTTCCTGAGCTGGCCGTGGTGGCGAGCTGCCCCGGCGCGCGGCGCGCCGCCGGCCGGTCGGCTTTTTCGGCCCGACCCGGCCCGTCGCGTCGGTCGGCGGCCGGGCGGCGGCGCCGGTGCCGGCCGCGGCCCTCGGAGCGAGCCGGCAGGACGGGCAGCGGACGACGGTGCGGAGCGCTCCGAAGGCCGCCTGCGACACAGCCGACCGCGCCGTCCCTGAGATCGGCCGAGGAGGACCGGCCATTGTGCTGACGCCGACCCCGGCAGCCGGCTGCTGGCTGCTGGCTGCTGGCTGCCGATTTTTGGCTGCTGGCTGGGATGATGCTGCTGGCGGGTGTGCCGAAGATGCCCCTGGCAGGGGGTCGCTGACTCGCTGACTGAGGGCATGCTGTGCACCATTGTGCGGGGGTGGTCCTGACGGGGATTGCTGGTGTCGGATGGGCTCTGTCGTCACGGCCTCTGAGGGAGATCTGCACTGGTGTTAGCCCTGCAGCTCACTGACCATGGCGACAGTTGCCAGCAAGTCGTCCGGCGCTAAAGAGGGTCAGTGAGCTGGGCCTGAAGGGCCTGGTGTCCCCGACCTAGCGGCAGGGAAACGGTCGTCCGGCCCCGGAGAGGGTAGGTGGGCCGACTTTAAAGGGGCCTGCTGACCCTGACGACGGGCAAACTAGACGCACGCACCTGGGAAGAGCGACAGGCTCAGCCCTGCAGGGTGTTCTGACCCTGACGCCCGCCGTCAGCAGCCGCCGGACCCGAGGCGGGGTCGGGGAGCCGGGCCCGCGCGGTGACCCCGCGCTCGGGCCGGCCGCCGCGTCCCACGGCCTCGCCACGCGGCGCCGTCGCTGCCGCCACTTTGTCGTCGGATTACTGCCGCGCACCGAGTCGCTTTATTGACCTGTGATGGAGGGGACGGCCGCCTAATTGTGGCCGGCCGGGTCTGGACGCGGCTCCGGCGTGACCATCAGACGCGGCCCGACCCGGGGAGGGGCCGCCGGATTAGCATGGGCCCGCCCGTTACTCGAGAGCGCCACGCTTACAATGGACCGACTCTTTGACGCCTGCTGTCTGGAGGAGGTAATGGACATATGCGTCAGACCCGGCGCATGGGAGCTGGAAGGGAGGGGAGGAGGGTGGCGCGGCGAAAACTGAGGAATTCATCGCCGCTCCCAGCTGCAAAAACGCCAATTGGTTCCGGCCGGCCCATTGCCTCTCGGAAAGCGGCCGTGTGTAAATGAAGACCGAGACCCTTTCAGTCCGCTCCACAGGCCGATGAGCCGATACAAAAACGCACTCGTGACCGAGATAAGGCTCCGTCTCTCTTTAACGTTCTAATTAGACGGGGCTGCGCCGGCGCGCCGCGAGCTGACGGGCCCGCTTTCTCCTGCCGGCCGGCGCGGCCGACGCCGCATGAAGACGCGTCCTGCGCACCGCCCATAACCCGCCACTAAACTTCAAAACGCCCGGCGACCGGGCCGATTTATGCAGGCGGCGGGGGGTGGCGCGGCCGCCCCCCGGCGCGGGTCACCACGGCCGGGCGGCTGCGGGATCGGGCCGGCAGCCGGTCGACGCCTCTCGCCGGGGCCTCCTGCCGGGTCGGGCCGCCCCAGCGCCCGCCCGCCCCGCCGCTGACGCTCTGTGGCTGGCATGAGGCGGCCGCGTCTGATGCCATCTTGACCTGTGCCGCGTGGCCATATTTACTGGCATGTTTGGGCCGCCGTCGCATTCACTTGTCACGTATCACTCAGACATCTTCATGCGATGCTATCTCCCCTACAAACTTTCTGCTCACTTATGTTGTATATGTGCGGATTTTTCTTGTTTCCTGCTCTGTGCGTGATATAATTTGATCGTCGTTTTCGTTAAATATGCCTGTATACATCCACACTAAAAATATGTGTATCTGAACCGTTCTCAGCACTTCGAATATACTTACCCTATTTGCTCATGACTCATTCGTTGACTCACCGGCACTATAGCACAAATAACTCACAAATGCTGGTTCAGATACATTTATTCGGTCACTCGATGTTGAGCAGATTGAGGGCGCCAAGATTCAGTGACGATGCTGCGCCCGTCATGGCCAGATCCGAAACTGGTTTACCGGAGGGATATGCTCGTAGTAAGGTGTAGTAAGCAAGCGGCCGGTAGTAAATGTAGTAAGACACACTTTCGCCACGCTCGCCACACACACACGTCTCCCCCTTTTCCCCTTTCCTTTTCCCCTTTTCCCCTTTCCTTCCTTACGCTCTCTGTTCGAAGCTCGCTGCGGCTGCATGTATTAAGCGCTACGCGGGCAGAAAAAGCTGTTTAACTCGGCCCCTCCAGCCCGGCCGTCGAGCTGACTGAGAGCTAATGTTATGCTCGCCACCTCGTCATGGCTCAGGTTCATGTAGTTTTCGGTAACAAACGACGCAATTCCTTTACAGCCCTGTGCTGTGTTAACATGTGTGCAAAAGTATGAATTATTAAGCATTCGCACGCATGCTGTTTGATCAGAGGGATCAATCTGTCTCTTTTAGCTTTACAATATAACCATAATTTCACTACCACAATCGATGAACTTGAAACACGCCACATGTCGCATTGCACAAGAGCTGGTGAGCACGGGTTGAATGGGCGCCCAGATGTCGACGTCCTCGTGTCTTGGCAACACCAGACTGACATTCTGACTGAGGAGGAAACGGGCAATGTCATTGGCGAACGTGCGGGCCGATGTGTCCGGACGGCCACGCGCTCTCGGTCGATGTGTCCAGGCGGCCACGCGCTCTCGGTCGATGTGTCCAGACGGCCACGTGCTCTCGGTCGATGTGCCCAGGCGGCCACGCGCTGTCGGTCGATGTGCCCAGGCGGCCACGTGCGCTCCGTCGATGTGTCCAGGCGGCCACGTGCTCTCGGTCGATGTGTCCAGGCGGCCCCGCGCTGTCGGTCGCAATCCATGGATGCGTCCGTTTCCCTGCGTTTCGCGGGACAATTCGATCGGCATGTTCAAGGCTGATGTCAGATCACAGCAGCCACAGCGGACGAAAAAGATGAGCCGCGCGGTGTCGGCGAGTGCGCCCGCTTCACCTCACCAGCAAGTCTCAGGCAAAACACCTGCCCGGCGCATATAAGCACCAGAAATTGATCGAAAATTGCCAGGAACACACCTTCCGAAGCCGAACTCGCATACGGGGCACCGTGGCCTAGATCGAGCAAGATTGGGTTATTTAACTGCTCAGAGGTGTAACCCTGGTCACTTCGAGCAATGTCCAACCCCAATGTTTGCACTTACCGCAATAACTTGCTCAAGTCGGCTTAATTGTGAGTTCCAGCAATATTTTAGATTTCACCGAGCGATACCGCCAGGCCTGAGCAGCCTCATGGCCGCCCGGCTGTCAAGCAATGTTAGCTGTAAGTTAGTGCGATAATGCTACATCAGTGGAACTCCGCCTGGTAATCTCTCATGACAAGCGGACGTTCCAAAGCATTGATCATGCCACTGGCGGTCAGATTTGCTGAAGGTGTCCATCTCCATGAGCTTAGTTTTTTGGTGTCGTTTACCTTATGACAATTAACATTTCTACTCTCTTTCTCAGACCAGTTTCTTCCACATTGCGCAAACCCTATCACGGGTTTCAGTACGTGCTAACAGCATATTGCCTAAAGGCTTTGTGCTTTCCTTGTAGGGCCCTTTTTGAGGGACTTTGAAGACAATATATCCGTGAGGGAGCACGTGCTTTAGACGTGTGTGTCTGTGTTTGTGGGGTGGGGAGCGTTTCCTCCCCCCCCCCCCCCCCCTCTTTCCCACCAGCACATCGCCAGGGTTTGGGACACAGGACAGTTATCGTTCAGATCGAGTCTCCTTTTTGGGGAAATTGGTCATCTTTGTAACAGCATTGCCACGTTGCCATCTTTCATCCTGCTGTCACGGCAGAGTCAACGTCCTTCAGAAGGAGCTCGAGCGTTTCCTCTTTATGCCGTGTACGGTTAGCCAGGCGTTGGTGCTGCTGTCGCCGCAGGTGACGCGCGCTGGTGACGAACCGTTTAGGTCGCATTTCAGGGGAATGTTCAACATTCGAAGATGTTGAGACAGGCAACAGATATGGCGGAAGAAGCTCTCCTCACTAGAAACAGCTGGTGTGCTGTTCAGGCTGAAAACTTCTCCAAATAATACAGTTTCACTTATCAGTAAACATGCTCCACATTACGTCATTGTCTGATGACATCATCGTACCTTACACTACACAGATTTAGAGCCAATTGACGAACATTACATCTGGGAATCATGATGACGAACGCCAGATACGAACGACCCGATAATTATATATTTTGGCCTTGATCGTCGCATAACACATGAAATGGCGGGATTTCAATGACGCCATTGTAGCGTCACGAATGCCGGAATGATGTTGAAATATTCCCTCTGAAATAATTTGTGCATCTTCGCGGGCGTGTAGCTCAGAAACTAGAAGGGGTTTGGTCTTAAAATGGGCAATGTTTTCAACTGCACCGAATGATCTTCAAGATGGCTATGTCAGTTCAAAACCCCGTAGAAATGTAAAACACTCCCTGAAATGTTCGGCAAGCCTACGTTCAGTCCAAATGGTTGCTCCGGCACGAGTGCTGGTCTTGACTGCCTGGCCTGCTCATTGTGAGGTTTACGTCACTGTTAGCGTAGTTGTTGTCGACCAGGATTATCTCACGGCACGGCACTGCACGTGTTGAGAGATACTCTAATGGTACCACTGTATCAAAACGTCAGATCTGACATACGGGTTACAGGGTCATACCTCGCCGTTTCGTGCTTCTGTTGCACGGGTTTAATAGAAGTGATGTAGAAGGACAGTAATAAGTAAAACATACTGTGCAGTAGTTGCACGTGCATACGCCAAGGCCAAATCCT